GCTGGACTAGGAGACAACCACTCTCTTGCTTCTCCTTTCATCCTTCTGTTCACCCTGTGATTGTCCTTGACTGAATTAACTACTCAAGAGCTCTTGCACTGAAATGACCCGATTCCTGCAATACTTGATAACTGGACCATAGGGTACTCTGTGCCTTGTGACTGCACAGTGTGATTGCACATTGTGTGCTGCAGTTACAAATTGTGCATTGGTGTTGTATGGTACATTGCATATTGCAGGTGTGTATTATGTGCTGTGCATTGTACCATGGCACCTAATCATTAACATGTGTTGCACAATGTTGTAGTTTAACATGGGGCTTGCATGACACTCATCTCTGCATGTGGAATTTAGGCTATGCTGAGGTGGTGTTGGATCACTGAAATAACCTAATAAATGTCTGAGTTGAAGGGTCAAATCCAGACAGGCAAATCGAACAACATTCTTTCCTCTCAGTAGCCCAGTAGTAAATGACGGGGAATGGGGGTGGAATAAAAGAGAAGACAATATTGGGTGACTACAGATTGAGCAACAGGATCTAGCAGAAACAGGCAAGAAGGAACAATCATCCTTAACCACAAACCCAAAATGCACCCCCAATACCTGTTGCAGATCTATGGGAAACTCTACATACTTTGTTTTCCAGCATCTCTAAGCATCAGTAATGGAAAGAAATTCCATTATACTCTTGCAGTCAATCAATCAAACAACCAATCATTCAAGATCACATCTTTTATCATAGCATCTCAGTGTAGTATATTAAATAAGCCAATGTAAACAGTTTAAAACAATGCAGAATTTACAACAACAATGATTTTTAAAGACTGGAGAAAAAGCTGTATGGTGCTTGTACAAGATTGATTTTTGGTCAATATTTCCTGGAAAAGGCATGGATGAATTGGAACATTCCACAGTGCAACCTTTGGATCAAAATTCTCTCTGATGCTGTAGAGTTATGCTTGGAGTCCTGCGATGGGATGCTTACTCTGGCAAAATAATGGCAGCTAGCCAGGACAGGTGATGACACATGGGCACTGTCCCAGCATGAAATCCGTCAGTGGTTATTTGGGCTTATCTATTTATGTGAACTATTTATACCCTTCCCTTCATCCAAAAAAGCTCCCAAGACAATGTATAAATAATTAACTTAACAGTTCCCTGCCCTTGTGCTTACAATCTAAGTAAAACATGACACATAAGAAAAGGAATGACATTAGGACAGTGATTAAGTCCAGCAGATGCCAGCTGCTCTTCTTTCTCTGAGGCCAGAATAATGGCAGTTGGGACTTGAAGAGAAGACCTCTCACGAGCTTCAGGGCAAAGGCATGATGGAGCTGTGCCTGGCTGCTCTTCTCTCCCCCAAAGGCCAGAACAATGGCAGTTGGAACACGCAGAATTGGGGATGATGGATCTGCACCCTAGCACCATTTCAGGGCCCCTGTGTTATTGCCTAGTTCAAATGCAGTGATGGACGAAAGTATTGCACAAGGAGTCAATGGATACCTGCTTGTGCAACACAGTAAAAAGACTTGGGTAACCCATGATTATGCAAGTAAGGTTGCCATGAGGAATCCAGCCATTGATGATGCTGGTGTTAAAAACACACATTTTTTAAAAAAAATGCCTTGCATCCATAGAGCTACAGTCCAGTCAGTTATTGTGCTCAGGGGAATAATCTGTTTACTTCCTTGGGAAGTTCCATCTCCTTCTAGATAGCCCCATGACCTTCACAAACATAAAGAGCCTCCACCATTAGAGCATCTTTCTCTTTGGGCTGTGGCGTTATGAGATGATAGCAGGAGAGGCTTTTCACAGATGAAAATAATTGTGTGCTTTTGGTATTATTATTTTTGGCAAAGAAGCTCGTGCTCCCAGCCTTCCAGCATATTACATCATTACACTGTATAATGCATCATAATGATAGAGTGAATGATGGCAAAGAACTGCTAGCTATTCCTTGGAAGTTGCGAAAGAGGCACACACATTTTCAGCTTGGGGGTGGGAGGGAAGAAAGCTGCGTATGGCTAAGTGTCTCCCTAGATGAAACAAAGCTGCAATCCCACTTGGCATTCACATTAATTGTGGGCTTGCCAAAAAGGCCACTTCCATTGGTGTCTAAATTAGCAGAGGATTATTCATCTCATCTCAGTAACTAAGCGAATCTCCTCTTTACACACTCCCCGTGCCACAAAATTTATGCCCGTCTGCTTCAACATTCCAAATGCATTTCCCTCACCCTATATTTAATGGGAGAAGGGAGAATAAAATTTGCAAGATTTGTATGTTAGGGTTTTTTCCTCCCTAAAGAAAAGCTGAAACACACACCCCCTCCACCAGTGCTAAAATGCAACCAAATAATAGAAGTCTCAGCTTGGAACAGTCACAGCTGGCTGTGTAAAAGAGCAATTTTGCATTAGTCATGAGTTATCGACAACAAGGAGTCACCTTCTTTTAATTCAACCCCGGTTATGAACCAGATGTGAAGTCAGCATTTTACAAAGCCACAAGACTTGAAATGGAAGCTCTTCCCTTCCCCCACCCCCAAGTTTATGGGGAAATTCTGGATGGCAGTGCTTCCTATGGGAAGAAGGCCATCTTAAGATGGGCATGCCATTGCCTTTAAGGATGTGTCTTGCACATCCTCCCAATTTTCACAGGCTCACTGTGAAGAAAATATGCACAGGGTCTGCAGCACCTTTGAGAGTAATTGTGCAAAACAAATTGTAGCATGATTTATCATAGACCTGGTCAACTTCCTCAGATACATGGAGTGAACTGTGAAGAAAACAGTGGGATTTTGTATACATATAGGGCAGGTACAGGTAAAGTGTGACCACTGGACTGTATGTAGCCCCTGGACACTACTTTTTGGCCTCTGAAGCCCTTTTAACTGTTCCACTAAGCCTTCCCATTTCAAAAAAGAAATTAGCACAATTTTAAGATAATTTTTGCTCCAAAACTGAGTAGAAATCTCCCTGAATGTAAAAAACAAAACAAACAAAAGACACATAAAAATACCTCCACTGCTTCTGGAACTGAACTACCACCAATATCTTTCTTCCCCTCTATAGTCCCTCTCAAAATGGTGATTGGAAATGATGGGATGCTACTTCCTCTGGCCATTTTGAGAGGCAATGTAGATAGAAATGCAGGTGTGAGTTTCGTCTACTGGGGGCATTCCAGAAAAATTGGTCCCCAGTCTCCACACCATTACCCACCCTGTTATTGAGTCATGCTATTTTTCTCACCATTTATGAATATCAGATCATGCCTGGAGATATCAGGCAGATATCAGATATCCTATCTGCTGAGATTTGAAAGCCTAACCCTAAAACCAGATTGTGAGCTATTCTGGAAATTGGTTAAATAAACTCTGAGATCCAACACTAAGGTTGTGTTGCATGAACTTCCACTTTCAGAGTTATAGATTGATTGTATCAAACAGACTTTATGTTCAAAGGCCAATTACACAATTGAAAGCACATCCAAATGTGCAATCAAATACATAATGAAATTGGCATATTTATCCTTGTGCATTTGCCCCCATGCACATCCAAAGCTTGCTCCATGGACATCTGCATTCATGAAGGCACTTCATAAGCAACTGCTTTCACAACTTGGAAGTGAGTGCATATATTCTTCATTACATTAACATCTCCAACCACATCTATCAGAGAATGTATGCTTGCATAACATACCAACCAGATTCTGGTCAATGTGCACATGTGTCTGTGTGCGCATTAGCGAGAGATAGTATGGACTTCCTGCACTAACTACTAAACAAATATTAGGTATTACAGATGGCTAGGATACCAGTGTCTTCATAATGTGCACACAGAGCTATGCATGAGAGATATAGTCATTTCTGTCATACTGTCACATGAAAATAGTTAAGCATGTCTTAGAACCTTGCTAGTTTAAGTGACATTGTTTTATTATGTGCCTTCAAGTTTCAACTTCTGGTGACAATGAGACAAACCTATCATGGGGTTTTCTTGGTAAGATTTATTTAGAGGCGGTTTGCAGTTGCCTTCTCTGAAGTTGAGAACATGTGACTTGCCCAAGGTCACCCAGTGGGTTTCATGGCTGAGCTGGGAATTGAACCCTTTTTCATTTTCGGGATTTTTGAGGATTTGAAAAGATCAGGTTTTTGTTCGAATTAACCCCCTTTTAAATTCGAATTTAGTTATCAGACGAGGTGGAAAGGGACAAATCCCGTAAATTAAAGTCTTCCGCTCATCCGGTTTATTTCCACTTTCTCCCCGCAACTCCCTGTGTGATAACGTCCATAGAGGAGATCATCACTGGGCCTTTAAACCCACCTTTCATAATATAATATTTTCCCCTCTTCCTCTATTGCTGTTTACCTTGATATTTGTCTCGCTGCTTGTGATCTCAGGCTGCATCCTCACTGCAGAAATAATCCAGTCTGACACCACTTTAACTGCCATGGCTCAGTACTATGAAATTCTAGTGCAAGAGGATATGCGGAGAGTCGTAAACAGAAACATCAGCAAATTCATTTAGCCTTTATCTTGGTATTACTTGTGTCCTTCACATGTCTTTAGGTCTAAAGTCTCCCGGTGGTCTGAAGGTCATTGTAACCTTTTAGGAATATGCCTGGTTCCAAATATGAAAATATAGAAATATGGATTCTCCAGATATAATTCCAGGTATGTCAGGTATGCTAACAGTGTATACAAAACATACGGTAAATGAATTTCACATTTAGACTTTGGTGCCATTTTCAATATATCTCATTATGTAAGAGCTCTGGTGACGCAGTGGTTAAATGCCTGTACTGGAGCCACTCACTCACAAACCACAGGTTGCGAGTTCAATACCAGCCAGGGCTCAGGCTCGACTCAGACTTGCATCCTTCTGAGGTCGCCAAAATTAGTACCCAGTTTATTGGGGACAATTAGTTGTAAACTACTTAGAGACTGCATAGTGTGGTATGAAGCAGTATATACATGAAGCTGCTATTGCTGTTGCTATATGCCAGTGTGGCGTCATGGTTTGGGTGCTGGACTATGACTCTGGAGACCAGGGCTCGAATCCCTGCTTTACTACGAAGCTCACTTGGTGAACTTGGACAAGTCATACTCTCTCAGCTTCAGGGGAAGGCACTGACAAACCTCCTGTTAATAAATCATGCCAAGTAAACCCCATGCTATGGCCTCAGAATCACCATATGTCACAAACGACTTGAAGGCATACAAGAACAACTACAAAAATATGCAAATATTTCAAAATCTGAGAAAAAAAATCCAAAATCCAAATCACTTCAAATCCCAAGCATTTTCGATAAGACAGATTCAAACTGTATCACATTTCTCAGGGAAGGACACCCCACTTTTCTTTATATGGCTATACATATTGTCTAAGCAGCACAAACATTAAGCTATCGGTGCAAGCACTAAACCTGTTAACATTGTAATGAGCATGGCTAATAAGGGGGATCACTTAGCACGGTCCTTAACATGTGCTAATCTTCCTCCTAACATATGTAATATTAATAGAAAACTTAATAATATTTTAAGAGGCCTATCATTGCAAATTCCTGTCATGTGCCCCATAATAGAATTGATCAAAATGAATTCATCAGGTATTCATGTAGGTGTCATATGTAGCTCCATAGGTGTTTCAATGCAAATTAGCATTTCTCAAAGGACACTTAAAGTAAAGTGCTCCTGAAAGTTCCCATTACCCATATTGCCAAGATAAGTACATTAAAGATCATCTTCTCACATAGTGCTAATGTATTCTGTCTGCATAAGATGTTGCATCTCTCATTTTGGATATCTTCAGAAATATCTGTCGTGATTTCCCCCCATCCCCCTATTTGGAATTTCTGGTACATTGCAAGAAAGATTTTTGCAAGTGCAATTAAAATGACTGGGTTATCGAGCACAATATATTAATATATCTGTCCTAGGCTTTCCTGCTTTCCCTTATATAATAACCATCATGTGCAGGGCTGGTCCCAGTCATTTTTCTACCCTAAACAAGGGTAGCTGGGATATTCTGGGAGCTATAGTTCAATAAACTAGATTTTCTATGCTCTGATCCCTAGTACTCCTGACTTACAAGATTTCTTCAAAGCAGAAGATATCCTATCTCTCATTATTCCCTTCTTGATACATTTCCTGCCTCCCTTCTTTTCCCCCTATGAGTTTCTGTTTCTTTTAGGTATTGTTGTCTCTGATTCCTCTTTCTCAGAATACTTTGTCATTTTATTAAATGCCTATGCTAAGTGTTTTTAGCCCTTTCCTTAGCCACAACAGCTTCCAGAATGGTTTGTGTACGTGTGACAAAAACAACTGACAAAAAAGACAACCCCTGCCCATGAGTTTACAATTATTTTTTCTTTTATTTCTTTTTTTTTAAAAAATGCAATACAAAAGGAAAGTGGGAGGAGGAGGGAAGAGGAGGAAAAGCAAACTCATGCACCAGTTCTTAAAGCCATGAAGCCCTGCTCATATTTCTTTATCTGAAATTTATAGAGGAGAGCTTGATTTATTCATTTATTTATGTAAACTGGTTATATCCCACTCCTGTACCTGAGGATCTCATGACAGCGTATAAACATGTCAGTTTAGAACAGTTAAAAATAAGAATTTTGAAAGATTCAAAGCATATTAAACCATATTAATGCCCAAAATGAGACCATATAAAACCAATTAAAGCAATTTAAGATAAGCAATTTAACGCATAATACACATGCAAATTGAATAACAATCAGTGAGATCCCAAAAGCTGTAATAAACAACCCAGGTTTGACTTGGCAAGAGAATGACACCAGCATTGGTGCCAATTGGGCCTTGAAGGAGGGTGTTTTCTATAATTTGGGTGCCACAGCAGAGAAGGCCCTCTTCCATATCCTCCCTCAGTGTATTAGCCTGCACACTTCCATTCTCAAGATAAGAAGCATATATAAGGAGAGGTACTCCCTCAAGTACTGAGGCTCCAAGCTTTAAATTTTATCAACAGCCCTTTGAATTTATAATGTAAGCATGTTAGCAGCCAGTGCAATTCCTATAAAATCAATGTTATAGGGCAGGGACTGGCAACCTACGACCCGGGGGCCGGTTAAGCGGCCCAGGCCGAAGGTTGCCGCCACCGTGGTGCGTTTTTGCCGCTCTGTGGCCGCGCTCGCTGCGCTCGCCATTTTGGAAATCAAAATGGCTGTCGCAACACATTTGCGCATGCGCGGTACTCTTGCGCATGCGCAAACACGCCATGGCTGCCATTTTGATTTCCAAAATGATGGCTGTGACATGCGCCAGGGCGGCTGTGGCCACGCGCACTGCGGCGGCGGCCGCGGCAGCAGCATGTGCAGGGGGCTCGCACGCAGTGGCGGAGGGTGCGATTCCCCCCCCCTCGGCCCAGCCAAGATCTGGGCTACGGGAGACCGGCCCAGGTCTCAGAAAGGTTGCCTCCCCCTGTTATAGGGTGTGCCAGTGAGTAGTCTAGCTGTTGCATTTAGCACTGGTTGCAGCTTCTCAACTGTATCCAAGGGCAGCCCCACATAGAGTGCATGGCAGTAATCTATGAGAAATTACCTGTGGCTAAGTTATCCTTGTCCAGATAGGTCTGTAGCTGGCAGCCCATCCGAAACTTGCCCCAAGCCATTTGAGATGCTGGCTCTTTCTCTAATCTTGATTATTGACTCCTGACCCCTAGCTATCTTATCTTTCTGGGTCTTATTCCCTTGATGATACTTTGACCTCATGTTCATTGGCATTTTGGGGCTTTTGGAGGAAAAATTGTGTGCTCCCCAACACAATGTAGAAAACAATGGATTATGTGCACCATTTCTGAACAAAACAAAAGTTTTTCTTTGCAAAAATATTGTTGGCTTTTTTTTTGTGTGTGTGTGTGCAAAAAAGCAAGGGTATTTTGCATAATTTTTATTCCAGATGTCCAGAAATGGGGAAAAAAGTCTGCTTCCTTGAGTGTGTGTATTAATTCATCAAGACACTTTTTCTCTTTGGGGATAAAATAATATGTATTCTGCATATTTTCATATTCAAGTCATCAGTACTTGCAGATTAAACCACAAATACTTGGTTGTAGGTGTCAGACCTAGATATTTTCTAAAATATAATACAATTCTAAAATATAAATAAAATAAAATAAAATTCTAAAATATATTACATTACTAATAATGCTGATGCACTGTGTAACCTTACTCAAGTCTACTCAGAAGTAAGCTTCCTTGTGTTTCATGGGACTTATTCCCAGGTTAGTGTGTCCAAGATTGTAGTCATAGCATTTTCTGGTCCAATAGTCATAATAGCAGTGTGCTTTGTCTCTACTGAGACAACAGTGTGATGCAGTGGCAAACCCCACAAATATTGCCCCCCAAACCACAACCAATAAATTTTAAGCTGCCTGAACAGGAGTCCAGATCGAGGGAAGTAGCAATGTCACTCTGTTCTGCATTGGCTAGATGTCACCTGGAATATAGCGTCCAGTTCTGAGCACCATGAGGCTAGAAGGATATTGACGAGCTGGAAATGTGCCCAGAGAAGGTCCGACAAGATGATCATTGGTCTGGAAACCAAGCATTATGAGGAAGAATGACTTATGGAACTGGGTATCATTATGCAAAAGGATCTTGTAGCATCTTTGAGACTAATTGAGCAAAAGAAGTCATAGCAAAAGCTTTTGCAGACTTAGCCTACTTCCTCAGATGCATTGAGCTGGGTGTATTTAATTTGGAGAAAAGAAAACTGAGTCTGCATCTACTACACTACAGAACTATACAGCTTGACACCACTTTAACTGCTGTGGCTCAACACTATGGAATTTGGGGACTTGTAGTTTTGCATGACATTATAGCCTTCTCTAACAGAGAGCTCTGGTGCTCCACTAAACAAGTGTCAGGATTCCACAGGATGGAACCGTCACAATTAAATTGGTATCAAACTGAATTAATTCTACAGTGTAGCAGCATCCTGAGTCTTCAGTAGGAGGTTGGACTATATCGGGGTCCCTGGACTTTTTGATCCAGAGCCGGTTCGTTGGCCCCCAGATCTTCCAGGGGGCCGGAGGTGCGTGTGCATGCACATATGCGCATACGCATGACTTCGGGTGCCATTTTGGAACACAAAATGGTGCCCGAGTAGTGTGCATGCATGCACAGCGCCATGTGCCATTTTGTGTTCCAAAATGGCACCCGGAGTAGTGCGCATGCGTGCGTGACGCCGGACGCATGCGCACGACTCCACATGCCATTTTGGAAGGCAAAATGGCATCCAGCGACAGCGGCGGCAGCTGAAGGACCAGTCGCAGGCTGGTAGGAAGGCCTTGATGGGCTGGGTCTGGCCCATGGGCTGTAGTTTGTAGACCCCTGGACTATATGGTCCCTTCCAACTAATGGCCTTTACAAACTGCCAGAAATAATGCAACTTGAGTCCACTTTAACT